CATCTAAGATCCCCTCCTAACTTCTCCCATGACGGGAGGGTTAGAGAGCCCGTGGGCCAAAACCAGGGGGCAATTTCATTAACACGATCCAGAAATCTCGAAAGGGTGACCCGGTTTATGTAGATGCCTCGGGTCCGCAGCAGGACTCTTAGGGAGTCAGCGAGGGGTTTGCGAGCAGCGTTGCCCACAATGGCGAAGCGAAAGCGAAACAAATGCAAGGGAAAAAAAAGACCGGCGTCCACCCGTGTGGCGCTCAAAATCTGTTAGGTGCGTCCACCCAACCCAGGCGATCCAGTACTCACCTGTCCCGGGAACCGCTGTATCTCACGTAGCTGATCAGGGTGAAGAGAAGAGGCGCTCGGGGCCTTCCGTTGTTATTGGGCCAGGTCCTCCGTCGTACCGCAGGCAACAGCAATCGCACCTCCCGGCCGAAGAGGCACGTCACTGAGTCTTTTACCTTTTTTCCCCGTACGGGCCACCAGATGACCGGAGCCGCGGGAGACAGGAGGCCAGACTCGAGCAGGATCAGCTCTCAAAGTTTATTGCGTACAGCGAACCGGACCTAACAAGGTCCGCCACCCTCAACGTTGGTTCCTCTTCCGCCCGTTGGGGGCAGGAACAGCCTCTTATAAGGGGAAGCAGTATCCAATCACAGAGAAGTGCGTCTAACAAGCTGATAGGCTAGCGTCACGGGTAACTGGGCAGACATGACAATTTGGCGGGCTTGTTCAGGCCGGGAAGAACCCGGAAGCAGGAAATGGGCGCCATCATAGGCGGCTTCCCACATTTTACAAAGGCTCTTTTAGCAAAGTATCATCCTTAATGCTGTTGTGATTTGTTTTCATAACCTTTTCAGATTTAGTGATGTCATTGTGATAGGAATTTACTGAATTCATCATTGTTAGAATTTCTGAAGTATTTTTGCCAGGCCCTGGCAAGTCAAATGGATTTATTCCAAGTTTTTTTTCGCATATTTCCAAAAACTAGATATTTTAAGCAAGTGTTTAACATAGATCTCCTCAATTTGTTTTCATTCTTAAAGGATTTAAAAATTCACACCATGAGAAAATTGACTACATGCAGAATTTTGAATGTAGACCTATGTAACTGTGTGCTAATTGTTAAAATCAAAATATTTAATTTGTTGAAAGATGAGGTAATTGATTTATGATTTATGGTCATAAAATATGATTATAAAATATCAAATTTTAAAACTTGTGCATAGCAAAAGAGAAAACTAGCAGAATGTAAAGACAACTATAGAACGGGGAAAAATTTTGCCAGCTATTCCTCAGACTCAAGACTAATATCAAGAATAAGAACTCAAAAAGGTAGACTTTCCCAGAAAAAGACCCAGTCAAAATTTGGGCAGCTGAAATAGACATTTGTAATGGTCAGTAAATACATGAAAAATGTTCAACTTTACTAACCATGAGAGAAAAATAAATTAAAACATATTGAGATTCCATCTCACTCCAGAAGGGCTAGCATCCAAAAAAAAAAAAAAAAAAAATCAAACAATAACAAATGCTGGCAGTGCTGCAGGGAGAAAGATATCCTACTGTATTGCTGGGGAGAGTGAAAATCAGAATGGCGATTCCTCAGAAAACTAAAACTGAAAATCTCATTTGAGCCAGATACTTATCCTTCTAGGCATGTTTCCAAAAGAGTTAAAGACATTATCTTATAGTGATACATGGATTCCCGTGTTTATAGCAACACAAACTAAGTCACCAGGTATCATAGGGCATGCTCAAACTTCCGGTCGTCTGCCACAGCCTTCAAGACTGCTGGGATTACTGGTGTGTTTTTCCATTTTAAAAATCACCTTTCTTTGGATATAATTAACATAAATAAACTACATGAATTTTAAGTGAATGAGTTTTAACAGTGTATACTATAATGTAATTGACCTCTTCAAAGGTGAAAGACAATATTTTCACCAATTCAGATAATTCCCTCACATCTCTTAAATAATCACTCCTTTCTTTTTCCTACCAAAAATTGATTTACTTTCTGTAACTTACGATTTGCCTTTTTTAGAATTTTGTATGCACTGAATTACAGAATATACAGTCTTCTCTGTCTTTTTTCTTTTAGTATAATGTTTTTAAGACTCATCCATGTTGTTGGGTTTATTCAGATACTTTCCTTTTGTTTCCTTTGTGTATGGATGTACCACAGTTGGTTTATCCTGTATTCATTGAAGAGCATTTGGCTTATTCCCAGTTTTGACCACTAGAAATAAAGATTCTATGAATGTTGAAACTCTTCTATCCATGTGTTTACAATTTGTGATAAAAAAAATTTGAATGTTTTAATTTTTTTTTTTTTTATCAGTACGGGGGATTGAACTCACAACCACCTGCTTGCAAGGCAGGTGTTTATGCCGCTGAGCTAAATCCCCAGCCAAATGTTTTAATTTTTTAAGAGACACACTGCCATTAATCTCCTTCAAAGCACTCCTCACCATTTAGAGTAGACCTATCTCATCATTCTTGCCACGTCTGAAGCAGTTTTAGAATAGCTTTTTTACAAATATCTTTAGTTGTGCCATTGTGGCTGCCTTGATGTCCTGTGTGGATTTTAAAAATATACTTTCCATTTTGACTTTGAAGAGCCAGAAGTCTCATGGTGCCAGATTCGTTTAATATGGATACTATTATTATGGATACTATTATTACTATGTATGGATGAAGATACATGATAGTGTTTTTAGGATCTGCCTTTCTGTTGATTGGCACTGGGCAACAGCCTTTAATGTATTGTTTATCATACCTCATAAAGATAACCCACTTAAAGACTTCCAGAACTCCCTCAGAAAGTGCTGAAAATGATGGAATATGTTCAAAGCAAGTGGAGTATTTTGAGGGAGCTCAGTGTAGCATGCTTTTTACTGTACTGAAATTTTTAAAATAAAGACATTCATTGTGTAGTTTGATCACACCATATATTTTCATTTCCCTTTGTAAACACCTATCATAGAATCACTGGATTGTATGATAAGTGTATGTTTAACATTATTGTGCAGTTACCAACTGGTTTCCAATGTACTTGTATCACTTTGTATTCCTATCACCAATTTATATGAGTTCCACTTACTCCACATCCTTTACCAACACTTGGTGCTTTGATTCTTTTTAATGTTTAGCATTTAGTAGGCATGTAGTGGAATCTGTTATGCTTTTCATTTGCATTTCTCTGATGAGAATAATGTTGACATGTTTTCAAGTGGTTATTTATCATATATATCTCTTCTTTTGTGAAATACCTGCTAAATCTCCCCTCTCTCCCAGAGTACCATACTTTCCCAAATTCAATTGTTTGTCTGCTTACTGGTTTTATGAGTTCTAGGTTGTGGAAATCTTCATTATCAAGTATATTTTATAGATAAGTTTCCTGATGTATGGCTTGCCTTTTTCATGTTTTTAACAGTGATAGTGGCTTTTTGTTGGTGGTAGTATTCTGTTGTTTGCTTTTCTGGTTGTTTGGATTCATTGTTATTTTGTTTTGTTTTTGAGTACCAGGTCTTGCTGTGTAGTTCAGGCTGGCCTTGAACTTGAACATGGATGCTGGTATGACTTATGCTAATAATGACTTTTGAATATTGAGCTTTTTAAAACCTTAAAGTATCCACTTTAAAAAAAAAAAAGATTCATAACTCAGAAACTCTCTGTTTAGGTTCTTTCTCTCCGGTTGTCTGCCCCACAAATTCTGTCCACTTACAGTCCCAGATGCTGCTTGAGTGCCAAGCTTGTGTGCATATTCACACTTACACACACTGCTTCCCCCTACTCCCCAGTCTCCATCTCTTACTCAGCTCCCTCTGTGTGTGCTGTCATCTGGAAGCCTCCATCTGTACGAAGCTGCTGTAGTCTTGGGTCTCACCTAGGTAGTTTCTTTTCTTTTGTCACCACAGCCTAAAGCTGTCATTACTGTTACCAAGACTGCACCATTGAAGCTTTTGGAAAAGTAATTGGGTATCATTGCCATTGGCAGGTATAAGCAGTTTTCCAGTTAAGAGAGAACATAGGCTCAAAAGCTCATCAGTTCAGATTCTACAAGTATAAAAATATTCATAGTCCTGGGAACATGAAAAATATGTATCATTTCTATTTTTCTTCTTAAAACAGGACTGTCAGGGCTATTGGATGATATACCTGCCTGTGATACAGTCTTACCTGGGAGACAGTGGTTTGTTAAAAGTAGATCATGTTTTTTTTGTACTCCAGATCTTTTTTCCCCCGTCTGCCTAGCACTTGCTAGGCAAGCACTCTTATTTCTGTGTGCTCCAGTTCTTTAGCATATAAGCAAATAAAATTTAACAAGGGAGTAGAATTAGAAATAGTGTGGTGCTTGGTATGTTTCTTGAAGCATTGCTGACGTTGACATTTGCTTCATTTAGTTAACTCATTACAGAAGAAAAAAAGTTTTCTTTATTGTCAAAAATGAAGGATATTTTCTTATAGTTTGTATCTTGGCATTGGTGGCCCTGTTTCATATTGAATTGTTACTGTGTACATTCTTAGGCCACTTGCCTTAGGACAGACCTCAATTAAGCAATTTCTCTTTTCCATTTGGGAATTGGTACATGGGCCTCATAACAAAGAATCAATTACAGCAATACTTTTCATGCCCAGTTTTGCTAATGGGAGTACTTTATATCCTCCTTTGGAGATTAGGTCGAGTGTTTTCAATAGTACATTTTTCTCTCTTCTGGTTAGTAAAGTGGTAAAGTCACCAGCTGCACACTGTTTGCATTAGAGATGGGGCATGTAGCAGGATGTTCATAGTAAAATAGGTTGCTTTCTTTATCTTCTCCTACTCGCTTTCCATTTGCTTGAATGATTAGACTTGAAAGGGGCAGTAACTTTGGGCATATGTATGTATATATATTCTTACAATATTTTAAAGAACATAAATTAGGAGATCTTATATAAACCCAAACAAGTATTTATATTATCAACCAGACTAAACCCTATCTTCCTCTGTTTCTACAGGAGTCTCCCCAGGACAGTGCTATTACCCGGGATATTAACCGGACATTCCCAGCCCATGACTACTTCAAGGACACAGGAGGAGATGGGCAAGATTCCTTATATAAAATATGCAAGGTATTTCATGTTGAAAAAAATCCAGTTTTGAATAATGGTTGTGATTCTTTGAAGTTATATGAAAGATAACTACAAAGTATAATTTGTGTTTGATGTTCAAGAATGCAATAAAGGAGAGAAAAGACTGGAAAATCAAGATAGTACAATTTAAAATTTATTAAAGAACATAAAATAATTAGAAATAAAATGGTAGAGATCCCATTCCCCTTTTAACTGGGATTTTCAGTTTAAAATCCCCTACCTCCACAATTAATTAAACTTCAAATGTTGGTCTTACGCTAGGAACCTCGGAGACCTGTAACACTAGAGACTCCTTATCAGAATCCACCTCGTAAGTACTAAGCACCAGAGCCCATCTAGATAGATAGCACCGCGAATTGTAATGGTGAATACACTGATTTCTCTCCAAAAATCTGTACCTGAAGACTGTAAAAAAAATGATTACCTGTTTGTTTGTGTTTGTTTTTAGAGCCTGGGTCTCACTTTGTATTGTAGGTTGGCCTTGAACTCACTGTTTAGCCCAGGCTGGCCTTGAACTCAAAGCAATCCTCCTGCCTGAGGGCTGGAATTATAGGCATCCACCTATTCAATTTCAGTAATCTATTTTCAAGTATAGAAAGTTGAGCTGGGATTCCAAATTCAAGACCAGTTTGGACAATTTAGTCACTTACTTAGACTCTATATCAAAATAAAAATAAAAGCTGAGGATATAAGCCAGTGTAGTGACCCTGTTTCATATCTCATTATTGCAAAAAAATTACTGCAAAAAATAAAAACACAGAGACTTATATGTTACCAGTGTTGAGCTTAAAGAAGTTGGGACCAATTTTTCAACCTTGATCTGTTAGGAAGTAGCTTTTAATCCTTTTTTTTTTGTACCGGGGATTGAACTCATGACTTCACTCTTATGAGGTGACTGTTTGAGCTGCTGAGCTAAATCTCCAGGCAATAGCTTTTAATCTTTTCTCCCATGTTTAATTAAGTATTTATTTAGAATTATTACGTAGTAATTTAGGTAGCCCATGAAACATGCCCTTAAGGAATTTATATTTTACAATTAAGCAAAGTGACAGCTAGTTTTAAGACAAATGTAAATCAGATGCCTTAAACTATAGATCAGTTGAGTTTTATAAAATGTTTCTTGGGTTAATATTAATTTCTACATAAGACATGCAGAGATGTAACTTAAGCCCTAGTTGTATTTTCTAGTTAAGTGGCCATACCAGCCATTTGTCCCCACCTCAGATTTCCAGAAACACTTGCTCCCTCATTGTACTTTTATATTCTGGTCTCCCAACTTTCCTTTCTTTGTTTTGTTTTTGTTTCTCATGTATGTGTGTGTGTCCGTACTGAGGCTTAAACCCAGAGCGCTAAGCAAGCGCCCTGGCACTAGGCTTTACCCCTAAACAAGGTCTCACTAAGCTGTCCAGGCTGGCCTTGAACTTTTGATTCTCCTGCCTCAGCCTCCCAGGTAGCCGGGATTAGAAAGCTCACACAAAGCTGTATCTCTTTTGATTAGAAATAGACCTCCTTCTCCCCCATACCATTGTCTTGGTGCGGATATAATTATTTTTGTTTTCAGTTCGTTCGTTGTGATTGATGTGTCTCTTATGTCTGTATTTTCCTCTATTCACTGCCCTGGCACAGGCCTCTATATTAAGTTCCTGGCACTTTCGCAACAGCTTCCTTGAGCTTCCCTGTCTTTGGATTCTAGCCTAGGAAAAAACTTGTTTCATGTTTATACTAGAATTAGATCATTTCTGTGCATTTTAATGTAAACAACATGAAAATAGGGAAACTTTTACTTAAGAGGAAAGGGAAGGGGGTGGGGAGGCCATGGGTGCTGGGGTGTGATCAAAGTATGAGGTATATGTAAGTGAAAGTGTCACAGTGAAATCCATTGCTCTCATCAGTGTACACTAAAACACGCAAAACATCTTCAGTGTGCCTCATGACTCAGCAGAATGAAAGGGATACCTCTTAGTTCATTTTCTGGTCCTGGATTCCTTCACTTTATATTGAAGATACATTGTAATATATCCTGGCTTATCCCTTGCTGCTGCTGACCCAAGTATGTAATTGTAGGTTTCAGCCATGTTGACTTTCTCACTTTATTCTGTTCTATTTATTTAACATACCTCACTGAACTGTGAGGTTCTTTTTTTTCTGTGAGGTTCTTAAGAGGAATAATGTTTTTATATGTGCTAGCATCTATAGTACTTAGCATACCACTATACATATACTGCTCATTAAATATCAGTTAATGAAATGCCCTGTCCTCCCCGTGTTTTATTATAAACCCATGAACCTTGTATACTGCATATGCTCCCCAAATGTATCATGTATTTTTATACCTGTGTCATTCTTCAGTCTCTTACATCAGCCTGAAAAATGGGTCCCCTCCATTCTCGAAATGCCGTACATTTTCGTCCTGCTACGTAACTGCTTAAACTATGTGCTGAGGTCTTTACATAAGAGTATTGGATGAGGGTAATATATCAACTCTAAATTAATCATATGGTTATGCTCATCTTACAAATTAAGAAAATAAGTAACATTCACAAGATCCAGTCCAACTCTTAACCCTAAAGCCCCTTTTTAAGCTGAGCATGGTGATGCCTGCCTGTAATCCCAGCATTCAGCAGGCTCAGGCAGGAGGATTGCCTGGACCATGTAGTTAAAGGCCAGCCTGAACTGCATAGCAAGACCCTGTCTCAAAAAGACAAACAAAAAAGCTTTGTTTTTATAACCAGGTAAACTAAAGTCCTTTTTGTACAACTTGTCTTTGGAAAAGTATGTATATTTCTCATTTTTTAGTCCTTTCATCAGGTAAGCTGTGATGAGATAAATCTAATAAGATTATATTGAATTCTACCCATGAATAAAATTCATTTATATATTAATTTGATTATCATTTGTAAGGACTAGCGCCACATTTTATTAAGAGAGAAACATTCAAATAGCCATTCCCTAAAGTGCTTTCTTCAGACACAGGAACTCTGGCAATAGAGAGGTCAGTGAAGAATAAAAGAAGTTTAACCAGGAATAAATTTGTCAAGCAGGGAACAGTGTCTTGAGTCTACAGGAATTCCCCCCTCTACCACAGTTTACATGAGAACTATCAATGCTAGTAAAAGCAGAGCTCTGAAAGATAGCTGAGGAACCAGAGAATAAACCACAAGGAATGTTGGATGTTGATTTTCTATTCAAGATAATGTTCATAGAAGATGGGTAGCAATCATCTGCTGCCAAGAAAAATAAAAACAGGAATTCCAGAGGAACCCACAAATGGCTTTAGAGTAATCCCTCTTATCAGGAAAGTTATTACTGGCATTATGGAAAGAATTGTATTTTGGTGCCTTTGCCAAAAGACTTTTTCCCAGAAAGAAAAATGAATAATGTGAGCATTGCTGTATATAAGGTTCTGACTGTGTTGAACAGAACATCACTCCAGTCTTCAGGAAGCTCAGAATCCAGAAAAGCAGCTCTGCATCCATTGAAAATGCAGTATGGTAAATACTGTGATACTGTGATAACCAGGCATTATGTGTAGCAGACACCACGGAAGTATCTAAGACATTACTTCTGAGAAAACTAGAATATGTGGAGGCTTAAAGGAAGCATACGTATTTTAGGCAGAGAAACAAGGAGAAGGACATCCCAAGGGCACAGCATAAACAAGGACAAGGAGCTGTTACACCGTTATTTAAGGCCTTAAGTGGTTTTGCTTAATCATTTATACTCTTCGGCCCATGAAATAGCATGGTGACAACTGCATTTATTGTAAACACAGCACTCAGGAGACTGAGACAGGAGTGTGGCCGTGAGTTCGAGGTCAACCTGGGCTACATAAGCAAATTCAAGGCCAATCTGCACTACATAGCAAGACTGTGTCTTAAATGCATAATAAATAAATGAATGAAATACTGTAAAGAAAAATTTCAGTTGGAGAGTGCTGTTGGCATAATTTATGAGCCATCACACTGCCCAAGTGAGTGTGGGTAGCATCCTCTAATCTCCTGTGTTCAGGTTTCTAGAGGATGCCCGTTATCCCTGCGGCTGCCTTCATTTAAACCTTCTTGTGGCTTTTTTACCCCATTTCCAGGCTTATTCTGTGTATGATGAAGAAATTGGCTACTGCCAAGGACAGTCATTTCTTGCTGCTGTGCTACTTCTCCACGTGAGTAATGAAATCTGTTATTACTTTTACATGGCCTGTATTATATAAGAGGACTGGATGGCAGTCTTAGGTTTAGGCATGGTTTTATATTGGGTTTGGCCAGTCTCTTAGACATGAGCTTTAACTCCTATGTCTGGAAATTTTTCCTTAATGTCATCATGAAAAAAAAATATGAGAATAAATGGTAATATTCGAAAGTACTACAAGGATAGCTTCTTTTTTATTGCTGGAAAGACTGGGTAGACTTTGATGTTGACTGGACCCTAGGGAATGTTTTCAGCTCTGAAATAGCCACTGCCGTTATCCCTTGTTTGGGGATCTATGTATAAGGGTGAGAGGAAAGCAGAGAAGTTGGCTTTCTTTAGTGCCATTTTATTCATGCATTCATTCAGCAAAAACCTTTACCCTCCCACTTTTTTGTTTTTATTTTTTAATTTTGTTTGATTTGTTGTTGTTGTTTCAAGACAGAGTCTCACTGTGTAACTAGGCTGGCCTTGAACTTGCAGCATTCTCCTGCCTCCACTTCTTGAGAGCTGGTATCACAGGCGTGTGCCATCATAGCCCGCTTTTATTTGCTTTTAAAGCATGGAAAAGTCAAAAAACATTAAGGCGCACACCCATGTATAGGACCCTTTCCTGTTTCCTTAATTATTGTGTTTCATACTAGTTTCTCCCTTTGCCTCTCCTGCATCTTTTTCTCCTTTTTGCCCACACTTGTTATTTTTTTTAACTTTTTGAAATTATATTTTGAAAGGAAATTACAAATATCAAGATATGTTACTCCTAAGTACTCATGCATGTTTCTTGTCAGGGCAGATGTATTCTGCAGTATGACCATACTATTGTGATTATCTGCAAGAAAGTCTTCATTGATTCACTGATGTCTGACACATAGTTCACACTGAGGCCCATTCATTGTCTACTTTGTAGAGTCTTTCTATTGGCCTGTTTCCTAACCATGATCCACTGATGATTGAGCTGTTACATTTGGTGTCATTTAACCATTTTTCCTTTTCTTTTGTTATGGAAATTATAAAAGCATGAGAGTGAAGAGCAGACCGTTAACTAGCAAAGGGGATGACGTGCTGTGTGGGGTCCCTGGAGTGCAAAAGCACTTCTGTATATATGTGGAAGGACTTAAAAGAAGAGGACAGTGTGACTGGACCATCCTGTGAGGAGGAAGGAAGGGAAGGAGCTGGGAAACGGGCCAGCTAGAGGTCATGAAGGCCAAATTGGGAATTCTACAGAGAGAAACCTTTGCAAGGTTTTAAGTATTCTTAGGTAGGCTGCAATACAGGTAAAAATCTTCCTAAATATGAACCCAGTTGGGCGGTATTTTAATCATGTAAAAACAAGCTAAAGCCATGATACTACTAAGAAGATCATAAATGTTTGTTTTAGTCAAGTTTTCTCAGTCTCAGAAACCTGTGTGGTCGTCTTTTTTTCTCAATCTCAGTCCTACATGTATCACCATTTAAGTGTCACAACCTCTTGAGAAAGACAATTCTGTGTCTTGTTTTAAACTTCACGCTGCTGCAGCAGTATTAAGACGCGTGGCTCAGCATGAGGGCAGAGGGGCTGTCTTCTCCTAAGAGAGACACTTGGGCCACTTCTTCCTTCTGTGTGGGAAGGTGAAGTTGCCTTGCATGACAAAGACCTCAGGAGAATCTGTCTTTTGCCCCAAATAGGCTATCTTTGCATCAACAATCTGTTCGTGTTTTTCACTTATTGGTTAATCTGATTTGCTTCTTGGCCCTGTCTTACGCTCAGTGATTTCGTGCTCAGCTCACTTCCCTCATCTTGTTCTACAGAATACCGCCTACTTTCTTGATTTTTTTTTTTTCTTTTGAAGACTTGCTGCAGTCACACCAACCCAGAAATAACATTATCAGTGCTTTTCTTCTATTTTGGAAACTGGACATCTTTTTAGGTTTGGGGGAAAATATTTTTCTATAAATCTATGGAAGATGAACTTATTGTTTTAAATGGACAGTATTTTTAAATAGAAGTGAAGTAGGGTTTTTGTAGCACTTTTAGCATTATTGCAAGCATTGCTGTTGTACTTTGAATATTACTGAAAGCATTAGAATGCACGAGGTTCTTCTATAACAAATTTGCTGGGGTATTTTGTTTTGTTTTCGATAGCATCTCTCTTTGTAGTCCAGGCCAGCATTGAATTTCTTATGTATCTCAAGGTGGCCTCACAGCTAACTACAAGCTGTGTTTTTTAAAAGTAATAGAGAAGAAAACAATTTTAGTAGAATGAGATACCAAGTAAGAACGGTAAAATGATTAAGCAGAGGTCTTGTGATTTAGGAAAGAAGAAACTTACTGTGTGTATCTGCCTGTTACGACTCAAATCCTCTTGTCCCTGCAAAGTCTGTTCTTGCCTCTTTCCAGTGGACTTTACTGTTCTGTAAAGTCCTATCACCAGTCTTCTACCTAATTTATATTCCAGTTACTGTATCCCAGCTGAGGATTGGAATGTTGCTGACCCAGTAGGCATCATTAAACATTTCTTTGCTGAGTGAATGAATCTTATAAAACAAAACTAGATCTGAGTTTCTATACACCACTAGTTTTCCTGGTAAAACAATTGAAGAGTGAATTTGATGCGCTTAGAAAACTTACCTGTATGTTTTGTGATCCCACTTACCCCGGCCCTCACTGCCTATCTGTTACAGATGCCTGAAGAACAGGCATTCAGTGTTCTGGTCAAGATCATGTTTGATTACGGTCTCAGGGAACTTTTCAAGCAAAACTTTGAAGATTTGCATTGCAAGTTTTATCAATTGGAGCGCCTCATGCAGGTAAAAAGAGAAACCAGCTTACGTTGGACAAAAAGGACTAAGGAGAGCTAGATTGAGGATCTGGTAGTGTCCGTACATAAAGACTGGTTTTATTTTTTCCATTTCTCATAATCTGATTGAAAATGCCAAGATTAATACAGTGTGAATCTGAAAAGTATGAGCTATATTTTCAGTCTCTTAAACACCCAAAAGAAAAGATGGCTTTGTAGGGACATTTTCCACAGCAAATTCAGTCAAAAAGTGCTCACCAAGGCTCTAAAGATGATTGGTTAGAAATCTCATAACAAAAATGAAACAGACTTTCCCAGATATTTCATAACTTGGAAAGAAAAACTATCTTTCCAAATACTTGTCACCATTTTGGGGATTCCTCTGTAGAGCTAGTTTGTGGTCCGGAAAAGAGAGCTGAGTGCTAGCTTAATGCCAAATGATAAGTATTCTTCTGAGCACTGGGGAGATTTTTAGAAAAACACAACTATGTGACTATTTTTGGCCTATTCCTAGTAGATTTATGAGTCTCTTGAGAGAGAATCTGATAGTTACATATGTGCCCAGAACTAATTAGTTTTCTATTTCAGGAATACATTCCTGACCTGTACAACCACTTCCTGGATATCAGCCTTGAAGCACACATGTATGCCTCCCAGTGGTTTCTTACGCTTTTCACTGCAAAATTCCCTCTCTATATGGTTTTTCATATCATCGACCTGCTTTTAAGTGAGGTACGTATCAGAAGCCACAGCACTTTGGCTTTTGTCTGCAGCATACTTGTGTGACATCTCTGTCAAAACAGTTCATCTTTCTCAGTTAGTGGATTTTAGTGCTGGAAAATCCAGACTGAAGTGACTCTTCTTGGGCTTATGCTAGTGAGCACATTTGTTAAAGGTACTCTCTCAAAAAGTACATTAGACATTTGTATTAGCTGGTATTAGGTTTGACTGCATATAATGAAAAAGCCCAAGATAACAGTGAATAAATATAAAATAAAGGTTTCTTTCTCTTGTAAAAGAAGATAGAAAGTTGGCAGTAGCCTACCTTATTCAGAATATGGTCTTATTCTTTAGTGGAGTAGAGCTATAGCTCCCATATCCGTATTCACAGCGGGAGGATTGGGATTGGGGGTAGGTGTATCCTCTCTTTGTAAGAGGCACTGTCAGCGGGGCATTACCCCAGCACTCAGGAGGATCACTGAAAATTAAAGACCAGTCTACACTACAAAGTAAAACCTTGTCTCAAAAAATAAAAATAAAAGAGACCTACATTGAAGTTCCAGGATTTCCAGGGATTGGCTAAGATTTTGCAAAAACTGTAGCTTATTACTAAAGAAAAAACAGCAGAGTAAATATAGCCTTTGCCATAAGTATAATGTGGTTTTGGATTTTTGAGGGGTATATATAAGAAAAGAACTAATTATAAGAATACTGTTTATTATAGAAACTTTAGAACTAGAAGCAAAAACAATGATACATACACTTCTGTGCTATCCTTTTTAATTGTGTCATATTTGGTATATAAAAGTCCATAGGGCATTTGTGTCTACCATCTCACCAGAAATACTCTAAAATACATTTTAGGACATAAACACTTCCAATATACCATTATTTTTACTTGCTGACAAGTATCTTGTTATTTGGGTGTACCATAATTTATGTAACCATTTTCTAATCTCAAACCTTTAAATTGTGTGTAATTTTTCACTATTATAAATAACCATCTGTTAAGTAGTTACTATGGGCCAGGTGACATGGTAAGTAATTTACACAAACTTGCCTACTAATTATCTCAGGGAACTGTTAGGAGGATATTAGTTATAGAAACTGGGGTCCAGAAACTTAAAACAGTTTATTTGATCACAGATGTTAATGCCTCCCTGATCTGTTTTTTGTGATCATGATCCCAGATTGGTAAGAAATGGCAGATTGGAGGGAGCCCTAAGCAGACTCTGTTCTGGGATTTAGACTTCATAGAATTGCTGTAGTAGGACTGAGATAGCGAAATATACAGGAAAATTCCATTACGAGTTATTTCCTGATCGATCACAATATTAGGGCTCCGATAACTTTAAAGATGTGAAGTCATGGACTATGGAAAAACATTCTTTCCTGTGGAACATGAGAATGGGGCTAGAAAAGCTCATCTCTGAGAAAAATTGGAGATTGGGTCTACTTTGACACATTCACAATAGGGCCATAAATTTGTATGTCTTGCCAGTTGGTGGCTTGAACCACTGATAATATATGCCTAGTTATCCCATTTAGTGACTTTTTATTAATTTTATTAGTAAAAAGACCAATAAAAATGATTAGATCTGTTTGGAACAGCCCTACCTATACCACAGGTGGTTCAAGCTGGCAGGAACGTGTTAAATGGCTTTTCAGTGTTGGCCCTGCAATTTTTATTTTCTAAGATAGTTCCAAAATACTGGGGCTGGAGGTTTAGCTCTGTGGCATAAGCGCCTGCCTTGCAAGCAGGCAGTCGTGAGTTCGATCCCTGGTACCGATAAGAAGGAAAAAGACCAAAAAAAAAAAAGATAGTTCCAAAATACCTATTTCTGTATTTGTTCACCTTTCTCTAAAATTGTAGGACATTCTGAGAACAAACAACCTATAGTCCATAGGTTATTTTTCTTTTCTCTTTCAGGGGATAAGTGTTATTTTTAACGTCGCCCTTGGATTATTAAAGGTACACATTTGTTCATAAGCTGAGTTATCTGGCATTCCCTGTGTTGCTCTTGCAGGGTGTTAGTCTTGCTCTCATTCTAAGTAGTCACTATGCTTTAGTGTTTTCCAATAGTCATTGTATGTGGGTGGCTTCTGAGAGAGACTAAGAAATATATTTTGAGAATTTAAAGTGCTGGGATTATGAAATACTCTTTGTACAACCTTCATAGAACACTTTTCTCTGTATGGTTGTATTTTCTTACTTTCTTTAAGACTTCCAAGGATGACCTGCTGTTGACAGACTTTGAAGGTGCCTTGAAATTCTTCAGGGTTCAACTTCCTAAGAGATACCGCTCAGAAGAAAATGCAAAAAAATTAATGGAATTAGCTTGCAACATGAAGGTACAATAATTTTTTTCATTCGTTCTTCCTGGCCCAGTTAATTCTTTTGTTCAACTAATGTCTCACTTTTCCTTAGGAAACTGTTAACGTTTGTAATATGTAAATGATAAAATAGCTTCAGTATCCCTTATCCCAAATGCTTGGTGTTAGAAGTATTTGAGATACCATGGTTTTTTAAATCTTGGAATGGTCTCATATACATAATAAAATATCTTGGGGATGGTATCCAAATCTAAACTTAGAATTCATTTCTATTTTATATATACTTTCTACAGTAGCTTGAAGGTAATTTCCTACAATATTTTTAGTGCACTTGTGTTTGACCTGAAGTATCACATGAGATCAGATGTGGAATTTTCCACTTGTGCTGCTGTGTTGGTGTTTAAAAGCTTCCAATTTTGAAGTATTTCAGATTTTGGATTAGGAATACACAGCCTGTTAATAATGGTGGTAATATTTCACTTTGTACTATGTAACTCTTACCGTTATCTTTCCAAAATATTTTGATATATAGTCATTCCTTTATATCTGTGGGTTCTGCATGTATGAATTCAACAAACTGAAGATTGAAAATAAATTACATCTATACTGAACATATATAGATTTTTTGCTTGTTCTCTGTACAACACAGTATAACAACTTTTTACAAAACATTTACAATGTATTAGGGCTATGAGTAATGTAGAGATGATTTAAAGTATATGAGAGATGTGCATAGGTTATATGCAAATTCTAGTTCATTTTATATAAGGTATTTGAACAGGCTCAGATTTTGGTAGCTGAAGGCTATCCTGGAACCATGCCCCCAGGAATGCTGAGGGATGACCATGTATTACATTCTGTGCATTGAGTCTCATTCTCCCTTCTCCATTCAAGTCTGAAAAAGGTATTAGTGTTTATAGTCCCAGTTTTGAAAACAAACCAAAACATAAAGAGGTTCTGGTCTCTCAGAAATATGCAAGTAAGTTTGCAAAACTCCGCTTTCATGATTTCTGCTGAGTTTTGTTTTGGTTTTTTGTTTGTTTTTTGGTATTGGGAATCAAACTCAGGGCCTTGCACTTGCCATTTGTTTGTTTGTTTGTTTGTTTTAACTTTCAGTATGTGTTGTTACGGTAAGAAATTTCCTAAAATGAAACTGATAGGTGAGGAAACCCACTCAGTTTTATCACTTCATATGACTTACGACTTCTGTAATTCTTTTAAGGTAAAAAGATACATTATCTCCTTGACTCATGTTTTAGTATAGTTATATGTTTAAAGAAAAAGGAAAAATAATTTCAGAGTGGAGGCAATGGAACAGAATAAATAGTTGTATTCAGACTCATGTACATTATATAAGAGACTCTGTTCACTTTATGTGACTCGAGTAGAGCTAGGGTAAGCGTGAGAGTAGATTTCACTGACTGTAAACTAGAACACAGACTTGGATTCAGAGATGTGGATTTAGTTACTTCAGTCCCATTTAGGCTCCATTTCCTCATCTATAAAATAGTACTGGACTTCTGGTTCTAGTTAAGTGTCAGACTGAGTTCTTAACTCAGAGAATCTTTCTTAATACCTAAAGATAAGTAAAATCTAACCCATGCAATATGTTCAAATCTATGGCTGCATTTACAGTGAAAAAGAGAAATGCACAGGTGCCTGAAGGAAACTCAGAGCTAATATGTGTAAATTCATAACAGCAGCATTCCAAGGGAATATGGGCTTATATAGTTAATAGGGTATTAATGTTCACACATGCATAGTGGATATGACTTTGGGCCTTTAGGCAGCTGAAACTGAGATCTCTCCATAAAGTTAGGTCCTTGGAATGGCTTTCTGGTCTGTTAAAAAAACACAAAAACTCTGTTGGCCTGGGCAATAATAAAAATCATAAAATAAAAGACTGGGGAAATTAAAAACAGGGAAATGGAACTTCTGGAAATTAAAATAATCATTAAAGTTTCTGTGCAGATTAAAATATTGCGCACTTCACAGGTACTTTAGCTAGCATTTAGTAATTGTTCACCATATGGCAGTTACTGATTACGGTGGTGCCTTAGCTCACGAACTTGGTTCTCTGCACGATTCTGGTCACAAAACTGGATGAGAACCAAATCCTGTTTCACTGTAAGATCAACGTTGAGCTTAACCATTGAATTTGATTCCAATTCTCATCCAACTTGGTTTGGGATCAGAATCGCGGAAAGAATCAAGGTCGTGAGCTAGGGTATCACTATCAGTGTTTTATGTGTGAGAGTTAACTACAGAATCGTGCATAATGCTTAACATGGTGCTTAGAAATGAGTAAGGGCTCGAGAATTAATGGGTATTCATTTCTTCTGCTTTCTCAAGCAGAGTCACTTACCACCTCAACCCTGTTCCACACGTGAGGATGCCGCCGCCTTTTGTTCTTTATTGCTTCCCCTCCAAACCTGCTTCTTTCACATTGTCCCCATCTGAGGAGTGGTACCTGATTGCTTAGACCAAAACCTTCCTGGATCTGGGCTTGGCTCAGCTTTCATTCACCTCATCTGCACACTCCAGTCCGACTGTGGTCGGAGTGTGTGCTGACTCAGATCACCGTCTTCATCACTGATGTCCTAATCTCACCACACCATCGTTTTCTGTTTCCACAGTGACCTCCTCCCTGGCATGTCTAGTCTATTGCTCCCTTGTTTTAAAACTCCCTGTTGGCTTCTCATGTCACAGTAGAACTCAAGAGCACCCTATACTTGGTCCACAAGGTCTGGGCTTGACAGCCTCTCTGATTTCATTTCGTATTTCATTTCCCCTTTGCTATTCCATTTCCCCCTGCCCTGTTCTAAGACAGACTGAGCTTGCCTACCCCCTCAGGCCTGTGTACGGACTGGTCTCCCTTGTAATACTCCTCCAGCTATCTGCATGGTTCTGCCATCCCTCACTCAGTAACTGCGCAGCAGCCCCTTCACCATTTATGCTCTGTCTCCCATGCTGTGTTCCCTTCCCCGCACTGTAGGGCAGGCTTTTCAGCAGAAGAGACTTAAGCTCTTGTTTACCACTGAAGCCTTAGCACCAAAAACAAGGCCTGGTGTGTAATGACTACTGTAGTAGAAGGGAGGGACAGAGGTGCTACCGAGTTTCTATTGAGTGTGGATTTGGGCAAGGCTTAAAAATAGCTACAGCCAAGGGTTTCACCTTTTGGATTAAGTGTCTTAGGTAGGGATACTTTAATAATACAGTGTATATAGCCTTTCTTTCCATAGTCGAATGTCTTCTATTCCCCTTTACCTATGCTTTCGATGAGTGAAGACTGGCGAGGCTGTTTTCAGCGTGCCTGCATAGCAAATACAGTTTGTACTTAGATACATAGTTTCTTTTAGCCTTGGAGAACTTTGCATGTATATGGTATACTTTGAATTATTCTCCTATTTGTATATTCTATTTTAGACGAGATAGTAACTTTTTTGAAATTCATTCACAGGGTGGGAACCTTGCAGGTTCACCAGGACACTGAAGAATGAGATATTTCTGCTTATAAAAAGTGATATATGTGTGCATTTTAGTGATTAGTTGTCTTACTAGTGTACTTAATACCAGGAAATACTAAAGGTGATAAAACAGTTGAGCCAGTTCCTGGTACAGTGATAACTCACAGTGATGATTTTCCAGTCTAAAGTTAAAAGGACTCGTTGGCACGTGCGTCAAGGACCATCCTGTGGTCTGCACGTGGAGGAGCCCCAACCAGTCAGGTAAAGCACGCGCTGACCGGTGACTTTAGAGTCCCCTGTAGAGATGGAAAGGGGGATTTGGGATGTGTAAATGGTTTGGAAGCTAGCTTTGTTTTTTTTTTAACTTTTTATGTAGGATTTACAAAGAAAACTTTGATTCTACAACTCATCTATACTCTATTTCATTACTTTTATAGCTTGCTTTACTGAGTTATACAGTATTTCCTAGTTAAGGTGGGTATTGGGAATATTTTTCCTCACTTGCCTAGAAACATCTCAGAGACAAAGTTGCTTTTGTCATTGCTGTATTTTAAAGTTAAGATGTTGTGATTTCCTGTATTTGTATCATTCTTACAAGCCTATTATTTCTTCCTTGAGGTACATGCTGTGGGAAGACCTTAAAAAGTGTGGAAACTGAGGCTTTTGGAAGTCAAATGACTTATCCAAGTGGTACCAGTAGCACTGACAGGAGCCCTAGAAGAAGTCAAGCCTTCTGATTCCATGTTCTCAATGTTTTCTACTCCATTCTGCTGCCTTTTACTGCAAATGTATAAGGATTAAATTTCTTGTGGCAGTATCTGAAGTGGCCACAAGATGGGTGTGTTGCCCAAAAGGTTTATAGTCTCTGCACCCATGAGTCTTCTGTTTTCTATAAATCTTTCTTTATGGCTGTCCTTACTTGTCTCTATTTCTTTTTCCTGGCCTTTTATATCTCCCTTCTTTCACTTTCTCCTTAAAGTGAGCTTGTGGTTGAACAGAATTTATTTCTTGAGGAATTGAATCCTCTTTAGTAATCTAAAACTTTACTTCAAGACTCACTTAGCAATCAGTGACCTTTATTGGTCAGTGATCCAAGAAGAAAGTATGTCCACTTCTGATACAATATCTAATCCACTTTAGCATATTCTACATCATGAATGATTATGGGCTCCCGCACATGTCATCCTCATAATTGTGCCATGAATAGTCTCTAGAAGTTGAAACATGCATGTGCACGCCCAGCTGCACATGCACACGCACACAAACATACACACACACACACAGAGGAGACTGAGGCAGGAGGATTGAGAACTCAGGGACACCTTGGGCTACACAGTGAGTTTAAGGCTGGCCTCTACTTAGAGAGATCCTGTCTCAACAGAACGAATGAGTGGGGCAGGAGGGATCCTATGGGGTTTTTTTTTTTGTCTTGTTTTTTAATTTATGGCTCTTTCATCTCCACATAAGGACTTTTGAGAGCAAGATCAATAAGGCTGTTTTACAAGAAGTGGGAATTATGCTGTAAGAGATGGCTCAAAACTTAAACCTGAA